AAATAAATTAACGAAACTCTGAACTTGTTTATAGTATAAAAATTATTTATTCTAATTAAATATTATTTTAGTTATCGTAATAAAATCTCAGCTGTCACTCTTAGAGTGTCAGAACTGGGCCTTTTACCTTACTTCGTGCTCGTGTTGTCCTGTTTTTGTCATTGTTTGTTAAAGGTCATTTCAGACGGTTAGAGATACGACCTTTTTGAAAGCTGTGAATCCGATTGAGAACTGCGAGAGTATTTAAACTATTTCCTACTGCTAAAACGAATTTACATTGCAGGTTTAAACAAAGCCGCTTTCAACAAGAACAACAAGGTCTTTTTGAACCTCTACATTTCGTTTCACTACATTCAAGCTATTATTTTCTCTGACACCAGAATTCGTGTATCCATAAAACTAGTTACTCAACGTTTCACTTCGGCAACTTCGACTTACCAATAGAAAAGTTTGATCATGTCCACATTGATATAGTTATAATATGACCTTCAGAAGAATACAGATACTGTTTTATATACGTAGGCAGATTCACACGTTGGCCCGATGCTTTTCCCATTGCAGACTAGGAAGCTGAAACTGTAGGACGTGAATTCTACCAAGAATGGATCTGTCGTTTTGGCGCACCTACGAGGATCACCACAGACGAAAGGCATATAATTTGTCACACATATCCATACTACTGCTTAACAACTTTCAGCAAATGGTATTGTTGAACGATTTCACTGCCAATTCTTCCCACCGTATTACCAGGCATCCATGTAGTAACACCCACCAACATGATATATGTCTACAAGGCGAATTTCTAGCATCGTCTACACGAAAGCCTCACACCACTGCCACATCATACGTACAACAATTTTATCAACTTTTCCAAATACTGCGGTTTGTAGCTGGGACAAGCATGGAGAGAAGAAGATATTTCTCTACAATTTTCCCTGGTTTGATAATGGCCCTTATAAGGATTTTAGTAGGGCCCAATCAGCATATGCAGTGGCAGATGACCGACATCTTCAAACAACCCCCGCAGCGGCAAAAACGACAAATCAGCATATATAACAACCCAACCCGGTCGTCGAGTTTGTTTTTTCAAATTTGTCTAAACAAGTTGATTAATATTGTAGCGAGCACGAGTGTGCTTGTGTGCGATCGGGAACACGTGTGAACGACTTATCGATTAACCGACTAGCCGCGGGCGTCTTTCTTCATTTGCGCCGTATTTTTAACTGTGTGTGGTACCTGCGTTATGGGAAAACAGGTAAAGAGTTCAAAGAAAAGATAAACTATCCGGATGTTTCCAGAAGGTTTCAGAAAGTAAACAAAAGAGTATTTAAAGGAAGAGACGATCGCCGAGAGAACAAGAAATAAATTTACCGTTGCAGAATTGAATCCAGAAATAAATTAACAGTGATAGCAGTGAAATAAATAGCGCAGTGAATAGTGATATATCAACAGTAGTGTAAATAAATAGTTTTGTCGTTATCAGTCTTAGAAGTTAATTTTGTTAAACCCACGAACATTAGAACATCGTTCAACACTGGGAACGCTCTCCACAGATAATATTTTTAATGTAAAATCCGCATGTAATAATTTTATGCAAGCATAGATAAACACTATACAGTGTGAATGATCTAGGTTAGAGACACCTACTGACATTTATGTAATCTGCCGAATGAACTATTGCCATATATAAATGATTAAATAAATCAGTCTGCTATAAAGACATATACTTCACTAGATATTGCAAGAAGTGTCTAAATCTACCCATCTGCGACACCTACGCAGATACGAAGGTTCTATTCACAACTAATCTACTTTAATCGCAATATCCAAAACGACTGTATGTACATAATAGTTAACAATCCAATATAATTCACAGTTATATAGACAAAAACACTAAATAGAAACAGCTGACATTCACAAGTAGAGCTAAACAGTTAAAAAAATTGAATTGTTCGGTTGTCACCACATGATTTTTAATTATTTGTATGTATTTATTATTTTAATTCTACAACTGCTTATCTGTAATTGTAAATATGAGCTGTTATATTTATTAGGGTTTCTATTTATAAAACTGTGAATTAATTGGGATTGTTAACTATTATATGTAATTGATGATGAAGAGCTTTTAGGTCTTTCTACCGTAGTCAAATTCTGATTGCAGACGTTTCGCTATGCTTAATAGATGACATCTTCAGTGCTTCACGATGTATGATCGGCTGATGAATGGGTAATGTGTTTTCGGAACACGAAAGAAATTTGCGGTTACACCAACCAGACAAATTCGCTTTAGCAGAACACTCCTGGAAGGAAAGACACGGGATCTCCTTCGAAGATACGCAAGTGTTATACGCACGTCATGCTATTACAATTTAGCTAGGAGAGAAGCCTTAGAAATTGCACAATATCCGTATAATCTTAACAGGGAAGATAGATTACCGATAAACAGAGCCTGGAAACCACTGCTAAGAAACAAACAAACGAGGGTGCAACCTACCGGAACGAAATATGACGATAATGCAGTACCAGCCAACCGTGACCGCGAGAGTAGTATAAAAGCACGCCTAAGATCGCACATCAATCATTTAGTCCCCGATTCAGCATCGTGAACCATTGAAGATGTCATCTGTTAAGCATGGCGAAACGTCTACAATCTGAATTCGACCATGGCAGAAAAGCCCACCAGATCTTCATCATCAATTGGACACAGTCCGAGAAAGGCTAATACGAACTACTGTAACTATTATGTGTCTTTCCAAAATGGAAATTCCAACTGTCTTGCTTCATTATTGACTTTAAGAAAGCCCGACGACCTAGAATGAAACATTGACGTTTGTTTTTAAAAAGTCAATATCTTTTAACCCTTTTTGGCTTTTATTACACTTAAAAAATATACAATCATAAACCAAATTTCTAGAATATGTAATCAAAATGATAATTGCATTAATTATGGGAACACTACTTATTAAGAACTATGCTAAATTTGGCTAATTATTGTTAAAAGAACATTATTACTACTTATTCAATAAATTTGAACCAATTATTAATCTGTATGGGGATTATCCTATTAAAGAATCAGATAAATAAAATAGGTTACGTCTAACTTTAAACGATGAAATGGGTGTTAGGAATTTTATTATATCCATGTTAAATATTTAGTTGCCCCTTAGAAACTGTTAATTTCATTTTTCCTTTATTTTACTTATATGCGAGAAGACATTTTATTAGTTAGTATTTATAGTAGTTCTTGTGGCGAAATCACTGCACCTTCATCAAAAAAGGTCTTAATACTAATCATTACACCGATATACGAGAAAAGATAAAATATTAATGAATTAAAAATAATGCATTAGTATTGATAAATATTCTAATTTTGATAACATCTGGCGATACCGTTTTGACCAAATTGTCAAATAGTACATGTCTCTCAAGTTACATAACATACACAGTGTGTCCAATTGGTGGTATATCGAACGATATCTCCTTACCGGATGATATTAACAAAAATAAATAAAAGTTGCCCGATGCTTTAAAATGTTTATCTTCAAAATATTTTTGCATATACAGGGTGCTCATTAAACGCAGTATGAGACAAAAGTTTGTTATTCTAAATAAAACACTATTTTTATTTGTTGTGTAATTTATTGAGTATCTACGCTGAATTGTACTTATTTTTATTTTAGATAAAGAAACCATCAGCTCTTATTCCGCAAAATCTGTATTATGATGAAATTCCCGATTTACCATTCGAAAATTCTACGGAAAAGGCTCACGCACTTAATTCAACCACTGAACTGTGCTTGTGTCCATTTGCTTTTCTGGAATCAACCGATAACGATGCTTTTGATAATGATATGGTTCTTCCACAAGGAGAATACGATCGTTTGAAGTATGAAAGCGATGAACTCAAACATTTACGCCGGTGTAAGGTAGGCACTATATTTCTTAATGGGACAAAAACTTGAAAGATAACAGATGCTAAGATGTTTTAGTGAGAGCAATAAAAAAATTAATTTATTAGAGAATACGTAGTCAATTGGAATGAGTTATACAGAGTTATTCACGCTATTCGACACGAACGATTACACATCGCAGTATTGTGCATCAGAGTACCATACCGATTCTCGTGATTTCTGCTACCCTGAGTACTGAAAGAGCTGCTGCCCTCTTTCAGGGCCTTCTCTTAGTCTGGTTCCTCTTTAACCTCCCCCCCCCATTTGAACCAATGGTCCGGCTCCCTAAATCATCGAAACTCGCAAGCCGATCCACCCACGANGAAAATTTTCGTTACTACATTCGCAATTCCATTGGGTTTGGCTATGGAAGAGGTTACTCACCTACGAAATGGAAGGGATAAGAAAAGAAAAGAATCATCTCACTCGCACTCGCAGGATCAATGAGGAGCTCCTTAGCTATACCTGAGGAGCTCTCGGGAGTCAAAAAAGCCGAGTTTGCCTGGCTCTGACCTATGACACTGCCACATTGACCGACTTCTAATAACATTGACTTCGATTGACTTCGACATAAATAATACAAGCCTACAACGTTAAAAAAAAACAAAGAACTACTCTAGGCTGACTGTAAATATAAACATCATCAATCACTCTTATTAATCTCATCTACCAAGTAAGAAACAATTCATGAGTGCAAAAATACAAAAGAAATGCAACGTGCATGCTGTTTAATACAGATAAAGACATAGTTTAATTGGTCTATTGAACCACCATAATTATTTTCGTACAATGTGCTTTCATCAGGTGGATAAGTAATGGGAAGTAATATTACATTAATTCAAAATTTATTTTAGGTTTAGTCAACCAAATGTCAAACCCCAATTGGAAAAGCTAATGGGGACGAAAGTAATTTCTTTAACAGACAGATCGTTTATGATAAAGTTACAGGAGCGGGTTTTAGAAGAATATAAAGCTAATATGGAGCAAAGAATTGCTAATCGGAAGGTAGGTATATGTTTCAGTAATTCTTCTTGCATACATATATATATATCAATTATCTATAAATATAAAATTTAATTTTTTCATATGCGTGGTTTACCATTTTTATAAGCACGTATAATCATTAATTCGTACACTGCAACTTTTGAAATGACAGGGTTCGAAGGGATTATTGAAAGGTACGACGGTCTGAGCAGACGCGGGGAACCCCAAATGGGTATGTCCCAGAATATTATTTCAGATTTTAATCCACTAATACATACTTTAAGAGATTGGTTGCATTCTGTTGACGAATTTACTAACATGTTATTTGTGTTAAAGAAACTGAAGGGCCCTGCAGAGTTTTGGTACAGAGGGCTACCCACGAGAATGATTACGTGGTCAGAATGGAAAGATCTGTTGCAAGCAAATTTTAGGCAAAAACGCGGTTTACATAACTCCCTAATAGCTATGATGAATTGTAACCCAAAATCACATCAAAGATTGTATGAGTATCTTTTTGAAAAACTGGCTTTGATACATAAATTAAACCTTCCCTTATCCGGCGAAGGCCAAGTAAATGTGATCATGTGAGGTGCCAGCAATACAAATATTAAATTCTTGGTAGAAACGGCACAAATAAAAGACCCAACTATTTTGGCACAACATTTCCAAACTCTAGAAAATAAGTCGATGCCTGAAGAGTTAGGTAACAACGTTAATGTTGACCCATATAGCTCACGAAAAAGACAACATGCTTCAAACATACAATGTTTCCTCTGTAAAAAAAGAGGTCATGCCCGTAAAGATAGTCCTCAAGGCAAAGAAAATCGTAAACGTGTAGTAGTGATTTACAATTAACCTCTTACATATAAAAGTAAAATAGAGATACTAGTATGCAAGGGAAGAATAAGTAAGGAAAGAGCGAACATAAAGATAGAAGACCAAAAATTAGAAGAAGTGGCTGATTTGCAGTATTTAGGAAGTAAGATAGGTCAGAACAGAAGGAGTAGTACGGATGTAAAGCAGATGACAGCGCATGGTCGTGTCGCCTTCAATAAAAAGTCACTTCTATTCTAGCGAACGGTTAATTTGGAAATTCGAAAAAGATTGTTAGAGGTGTATGTTGGAAGCGTGGCAGTATACCGGTGCGAAACATGGACGGTGGGCGCGGTGGAAAGGAAAGGTTAGAAGCGAGGACAGAGAAGGTTAGAAATGAAGAGGTATTAGAAAGAATAGAAGAACAGAGGACTCTATGGAAGTCAATAGGACACCTTCTCAGACATGATGGTCTAGTCTGAGGCATATTAGAGGCAGAAACAGGAGTTAAGAGGAGTAGAAGTAGACCTAGATTAGATTACTCTCCGCAAATAGTTAAAGATGTGGGATATTCCAGATTTAGGGAAATGCGAAAATTAGCTCAGGATAGGAAAGAGTGAAGGTGCATGTCTAACCAGTTTTAGGACTGACGAACTCATGTTAATGATTTGTAGTTTTAGTAAATTGAAAACACAGGATCAAATTAAGAGTGGTTCTTGTTATTACTATTAAGTTACTGTGCATGTATTGACCTAATAGCTTTGATCGATAGGCGATTCATTGGTTTGCTTCTAGTTTGATCTTTTTGTGTTATTTAGACATATGCCAAGGCTGTAATATTTCATAAACTATTCTTTTACTACTCTTCCGTCTTTGTTTGGTCAATTTCTTACCGACCACCATCCACCCATTCCACGTTAGAGAAAATGAAGGCTGAAAAGGCTCTTCAACCCTACTCTCCAGGTTTGCGCTAAAATGTATATGCTAAAAAGAATTCCTACCTGCAAACAGTAGTAGCTGGTGGGAATAAGACATGCAATTGTTTTTTGCCATATGTATTTCATACGTCTACGAAAAATGCTTAATTAGCTAAAGGCTAAAGAAATGTTGAGTAGGTGATTCGCTGTGAACACGTTGTTCTGTATGATTACATAACTACCAGAGATTCGTTGTGATCAATGAGTGCTGATTAATGATTATACAGAAAGCTTCGCCATCATCTGTTGCGTACGCTTTTTATTTTTTAACACTACCTGGAGCCTTTAAGGCTACAATTATGCTAAAACTTAGGACGTCCTTAAAAGGCGAAATAAATAAGTGTACTAATTGTAAGTTCAACAAAAATTATTGCAAGAAGTGCGTTTTCTTATTGTCATTGTTTGAATTTTTATGTGTCATTAAAAACTAATTGTTTTAAGTTTTATAATACTATTTTTGGCTGTCGTATCATGTAGAGATGTTGGAGTGATACAGAGAAGATTAGCATGACTTTTGAGTGTTTAAAAAAAGCATGTTTGGAAAATTTAATATATTTACTTTTCATATTTTTTTTGAACAATATAAAAATATTTTAGCAACAAACTGTGACTTAATCCACGGTGGAAGGCGCATATTTATCTAAAGGTAATGTAATCGGCCGAGGAACAGCAATCACGATAAGATATCCTTCTATTAAAAAAATAAATAATTATTGAAAGGGTTTAAAATTGACACACATGGAATTTAAAAATATTTCACTTTTATTGGATGTTGTAAAATAGAAACACCCAGTGAAAGTTGAATCTAACATAGAAAAGGCATTAGTTATTTTCTAAAAAGTTTTCTTTTGTATGCTAGATAGTTAGCATTTAAATTTTTTTTTAATTTGTAGAAACAAGAGTTAGAGAGAATAAAAGGATTAGTACTAGTAGGAATTATACCAACTTCTCACGCTCCATCTCAAATGGCTAACCATCCAGTGGTGGTGATAGAGCAATACTGTAATAAACTGGTCAAAGGAAAGCGGAAAAAGGTAGGCTAATAAAGCAAAGGAAAATGAAAAAATGCTTAAGCATCTTATAACCGTACAAGAATGCACATAGAAACCAATGCAATTTTTTTTAACTGTTGTTTTATGGCGTTACATGTACAATATCAGCAAATAAATAAAATTTATAAAATAAATTAATTTGCACTTTAAGATTCCTAAAACAAAACCTCGATGATATTAATTCATAATAAACTTATAAGGACAATTTATAAAAACTTTTTTTGAAGTCAGTTGCGTCAAGTCGATCAAAACGTTCATAAGGTGCCT